AGAGAGAAAAAAAAAAAAAAAAAAAAAAAAAAAATCCCCTTCCCGAATGTTTTTTTTCGGGTAACTGCAACAGAGTCAAAAAACAGAGTTATAATTGCACTATGGAGCAATACACAGTTCGCAATTGCACTTTGGGGAACGTACATGATCATAAAATTGACTTATATACATTGTCCGAATTGCAAATCGAAACTGTATCTTGACCGGTAGTGCAATTATTACTCATTTTGTGACCCCCGCATAGTTTTTTTTTTTTTTTTTCCCCAGGCACAATCGGGCTAATGCGCCTGTAACTACCAAGGAGCCTAGCTCGGTTGGTACACTGATGAACTGTTGAAATATATATAAGAGTTGGAATCCACCTCAACGAGATAAACGAAATTTGCAGCCCTAAGACTGCGGTGTAGTGAGTTTTAACGTTTATGTTAAGATGTCGGATTTTCAGCAGCCTGGGACCAAGACGCAAGTGGGTTCCTAGGGGTTGAAATTTTTTTGGGGGCCGGTCCTTCAAGATATTGTAAATGTCCTACAACTATCTCTTTTAAAACCGAGACTTTTGAAAAAAAAAAAGATTAGTCCTCGGGTGGAAGAGGAGAAAAAAAAAAAAATTGCAGAGAAATCTGGAAGTTTTAGAATCCGTAGATTAGGTCGTGATCTTTCCAGGAAAAATATCAGAAACGTTTTTAAAAATCACTAAGACTGCAAAATATACGCACATTCGACACATTTTTCATTTTTGGCACTCAACCACGTATGGGTCAAGGAAAACGTACTCCAACTTCAGTTATTTTTCGTGCTCTGAAGAATGCGTGGAAAATACTGAAAATTGGACTACTCGTAGATTTTATTGCAATCCATCCAGCAAAAATATTAGATAAAGTTTTAAATTTTGTTTTAAATCTAGTCTACCAGAGTGGCCCGAGGTCACTTGCCCGGCCGGGCCAAAACAATTAAAAAAAATAAAAATAAATAGACTATTTTTGAATTTTATTTTTTATTTGAAATTTGGTGAAGAATTTCGATGTGACCCTGAGCCAAGAGTTGTTCAGTTTATTTTTCTGCATAACATAGTTTGTTTTCAGAATTTTTGGATTTGTTTTTTTTGTTTTTTTTTTTGCTGGGACCTTACCTGATCCTTGCACGGGCTGGCCACCCAGGACCCCGGCGGCCCGGCTGGTAGCCTAGTTTTAAACCACCAGTACTTCCTTGAGTCGTTCCCATTAACGGACCACAATTTTAGCAAACGTACGGGCCACTACTGCTAGAAACGTTTTTATTCTATTTCTTTCCGCGACCGATAGCTGGGCCAAGCACTGGTGGTTTAACTGCGAAGTAGATCGCGGCCGCAATCTAACCCATATTTCAATTTTGTCATTCAACCTCTCTCTCTCTCTCTCTCTCTCGCTCTCTCTTTCTCTCTCTGTGTGTGTGTGATCTGGTAGGCCCCCCCCCCTCCCTCTCTCTCTATCTCTTTCTTTCTCTCTCTCACTCTCTCTCTCTGTATCAACAAATGGAACAGAACTCTCTCTCTCTCTCTCTCTCTCTCTCTCTCTCTCTCTCTCTCTCTCTCTTGTGTGCGCCCTCTTAGTCTCATTGCTTTGGCTACCAGGGCTGCGTTCACCGCGCCCAAGCGGTAGACAATAAAATACTTGTCACTCACCTGGGGCCATTCAGATGGACAATGATATCTCAAAGCCGTCCTTCTTGCACCACCAGCATTCGGGTGCTATGGGTAATGCGCCTGTAACTACCCCAAAAACTCTAAGCTTGTGCCGCCAAAGCCCCATGTTGCACCACCAAAATTCAGGCGCTCCCTTGACAAATCTCCGTCTGGGCCAAGCGCAGTCGGCTGCGAAAGCCTAAGCAGTCCCTCGATTCTTGCTACCGCCGCAACCCAATGTGGCCAGATAACAGTCGGTTTGCGATCGAGGACCAGAAAGGAAGACGAGTTGGGTCATTGCTGGTTCAGGCACCTCAGTGGATATTTTCGCACAGTATCGTCAAGACGAAGCCGAGGGCGTACTCCATGTTCGGTATTTGCTATGGGTAGCATTTTGGTTCTTTGGAGTCCCTACTTCGATTCCTCGGTGCCTGGATGCTCAGCGGGCATATCTCTGCCAGCCGGACCGTGAAATGGGCATCGTGGGGCCGTGGATGGCGGCGGCCATGTTTCAACTGCTCAGCGGCTGTGCGTTCGGTTGAAAGGAAGAAGGTAGGTGCGATTTCGTGTGGAGGGAGCGCTGAAGCGTCTTTGTCTTTCGCGAGCAATGAACCAGCTGCAGAGAAAGGAGCGACGAGGGCGCAGACTGGACGAGCTGATGCTTCCTTGGATATGACTTCTGCTGGTAGAGGCAGCAATCCGGGCTCTTTGTCAGCGAGAGATACCAGCGGAGGAGGATTATAACAGAAGTCGAGCGCAAGCGACTGGCGCGAGTAATGTGGGTGTGGATTCTGCAGGTACAGGCGAACGATCAAAGAACGTACTGGCGCGTGACGGCGGCGTTGCTGCCGGTAATACTTCATTATCTGCAGGTCATCTCTGCCCGTGTGGCTTTTCTAGCTCGATAATCCCATAACCGTTGATCGTCTCAGGCGTATTCTCTCCCTCTTACATCGCCTTCTCTCAGTCACTTGCATTTCTCGTCCTCACCCTCTCCCTCGCGCGCCTTCTCCTCGTTTCTCTCTCCCTATCGCGCCTTCTCTCTCCCACTGTTCTGCCCTGCATCTCGTGCGTTCTCTTCTTCCCTTCCCTTCCGCGCTGCAATCCCTCTCGCGGTTTCTTCTCTCTCGTTTTTCCTCCCTTTCATGTTCGTCGCTTTCATTCTCTCTCCGAGTGTCGTATCTCCATGATCCTTGGACACGTCCTGACTGCTTCTCCTCTGGCGCCATCTTTCCCGTTCTTAATCGCCTTCTCTTCCTCTTATGTCGCCGTCTCTCGCTTTTATATCGTCTTCTCGCCTCTTACATCGCCTGCTCTCACTCCCGGGAGTTTCTCTTCCCTCGGTTTCTCCCTCCCCTTTTTCTCTTCCTCCCTTGCCAATACCGCCCTTGCCCTTTGTCCGTCCCTTGCCCTCACTCCCTCCTTTGCCCTTTATCCCTCCCTTGCCCTCCTTCCTTCCCTGCCTCTCTCCTCTCCACTGTCTCTCCCTCTTCCTCCCCTTTCTCTCTCCCTGCTCTCTCCCTCCCCTTCTCCCTCATATCGGCATTTGCCTCCTTCGCTGGCTACTCTATCACCTACCCTTGTCGCATCCGTCGCTTCCTCCCTCACGTCCTCCCGCGCTTCTTTCAATGCGTTTTCCTTGGAAAAGTCTGCATTCGGTTGACGCTTCCCGCGTCCTGTGAAGCAATTTATCTTTCTCGTTTCCGCTCGTCCTTCTCCGCGTGCCGCCCTCTCGTTCCTGCTGTATTCCCTCGTTAGCTCTCTTCCCTCTTCCACGTCTTTCTTCTCGTCTCTTCTCTCATCTTTGCCATCCTCTGGCCTGTTTGTGCCGCCTCCCCTCTTGGCTTGCTGTACCAGAATCTCTGTTAATTTTATGCGTGTCCGGTCCCATGGGCCAAATTACATATCCAGATGCATTTAAAATCTTGGCGGATGCAGCTGTCGCACAGGGGGGTTGTCATGACGTTCCGTGCCGCGCTCTTCGTAATCTTGTTGCAATCTTTGTCGAATCTTCGTCAAATCTAACGGTAAACCTCTGACATGCCGCTCAATCCACGTAATTGCCTCCAGGAGAAGGCTAGGTGTTAAGGGAGCTAGGTTGAGTGACGAGGGGGGAAGGTGGAGGGGCATTTCGCGCCTGTGATGGCCTCGCTGTGTGGATGCCACGTTGAAGTGACGAGTCGGGTAGGGAGGGAATCAGCACGCATTCGCGATCTGATTTGATTGCAACGGGTTCAGGTTTGAGCGTGGTCTAAGGTAGATCCCTCCTCTCCCCGCGCCCAATGTCCGCCCAAGGCAAGGCGCTGCGCGCCAAGTCGCAGGTGCCGCCGGGCCAGCAAGCGCCGGCGAAGAAAGCGAACGAGAGACGTCCACGTGGAGGGTGATCTAGGTGTGCGGTAAAGTCGGGCAATTTCTTAAGAAAGGAAAAAATGAATTCTGGTTGTTTGGCGGAGAGACGGGATGGATGGCGCGCAGTGCCCACTTCCACGAGAGGAAGAAGGCTGAGAGACGCTAGAGGAGGAAGGCGGAGAGACACGGGATGGATGGCGCGCAGTGCCATGAAGTAGGCGAAAAGACATGATGGATGGCGCGCAGTGCCGTGAAGCTCTACTACTATTCTCGCTCGTATTAGTTTTGTTCAGTGGCCTGCCGGTTTTCTCTTCGTTTTGCTCTCTCCCTCTCTCCCTTTCTCCCTCTCTCCCTCTCTCCCTCTCGCCCTCTCCTTCTCTTCTCGTTCTCTCTCTCCCTCTCCGCCTCTCCTAGTTCTCTCTCTCCCTCTCCCCTTCTCTGTGCACCGCAATCTCTCGCTGCCTTCTTCTCCACACTTTCACTTCTTGCTATGTCACCTAGTTCTTCCTGTGTGACGACGTTTTCCCCTCCTTTTTTGAAATTGTTTTGTTCTCGCTTTCTGATATGCCGCCTCCCTCCGCTCCGTACAACACTTAAATTTCCCAGCCATTCATAGCCATTTTCTGCTTTTATTGTCACTTCCAGTATTAGCAGGTGCTATTACTATGCTATTAACTGATAGAAATTTTAATAACAGCCGACCATGCTATTACCTCTTTCCTATTAGAGCGCACGCCTTCGACACGATCATGACTTGTACCATGCGCTCGATTCGGGAAGAGATGGTAGCAGGAGTCAGCAAACTTTGAACTGTCCCGGAGACGAAACGAAACGCAACAAGCCTCCAAATAGAGGCCATTGCTTGTGCTTTTCTCCCGTCCTGGAGGTGTACGGGTGTGTGGGTGTGTGTGCGCGCTCATGCAGGTGTCCGGATTTGCAGTTCAACCTGTTTTCTTGTCGTGTGGAGGGGGAGGTTTGCCTGGGTGTGTCTGCGTGGATGATGCATACCTACGACCATGTGACTTCAACCCTAATGAAGTAGGGAATTGCTTTTTTGGGTGCGGGTCAATCACGACGTGGAAGATTTGCATCTGTGAAGAGAGCTAAGGAAGTGATTGTTCGTTTTGAGTGGAAGAGAGAACTGATCACACGAGTGTAACATAAAGAAGGATTGTTCGTTTTGAGTGAGCGAAGCGGTTATGCGGACGCGTGTCAGGACGTCCGTGTGTGTGTGTTCAGCGGGGCTAAATTCATTGTCATGGAGTTATGCGACAAAGGGGACGGTTACTCTCAGTAACTTACTGTATTTCCCGTTCACCGAAAACAATCAAATTTTCGACCCACGATTACCAAGAAGAAAAACAAACAGAAGATGAAATATCTTGATATCGCCTTTAATCGAAACAAAACAATTTGTCGACCCACAACCGAACGGCACACTATCACCCTAAACCCTACATCGTTTCCGGAAATAAGTTGCTTGCCTTTGCTATCGAGGAAATAATGTCGCTTGCCTTTGTGAACGGTATTTCGAGGTGTCTGTTAATGTCCTTCGGAAAAGGAGTTCGGATTTGTGTTTGTGTGTGTGTGTGTGTGTGTGTGTGTGTGTGTGTGTGTGTGAGAGAGAGAGAGAGAGAGAGAGAGAGAGAGAGAGAGAGAGAGAGAGAGAGAGAGAGAGAGAGAGAGAGAGAGCGTTGGGGTTGGAACGAGGGGCCGCGAAGCAGTATGAGCGGAGCGCTCTTTCTGGATTCCCTTTACTGCACGGAATGACTACTCTACCTTTCCATTGCTTTCGTTGCTTGGCCCGATATAGATACAGACATAGCTGAGTAATATTACGTTAACATCATACGCAGGTACATAACTGTAGATCAATACACACAGGCCTTGAGCAACGTCCTGATATTGTTGGTTCTTGTTGTACTCGAAGAAAGTTTATTGTCAATAGTGGTAGTTTCTGAAGGTCTTCGGAGATGCTTTCGAGTTGTGGTGGGTTCCCTGTTGGAGATGTATCCCAAACAGTTCGTTGCATTGCTATGCTTCACTTGGTGCCTTGTCGGTGTCATCCGGTCTTGGGCTTCTTATAGATTTGAAGTCAAATACAGCAGGCTGATCTGCAATGGTTTTGCGTGAGACACCTAGATAACGATGGCCAAAGGATGCAGCTTGTTAGTGTGTGTGCATGCGGCTTGTTAGTGTGTGCATGTGGCTGGCTTGTTGTAGTGTATTCTGACCAGCAGGCGATTCTGTTGTCTTTGACGAGGATGTAATGGAGGCATGGGGGATTTTTAACATGTAGTTAGGTTCCCTTGGCCTGATTGCTGTTCGAGAAATGTCCGATGTATGCAGTTAGGATCTGTGGCAAAGTTCCGAGGTTGACTGCGCCTTTCAAGGTTGACTGGAAAAACTAGAAGGTTGGGACGTTGGGTTGGGCAGTCCATAGGGGTTGTTGCTCATGTACGCCTCTGTGAAGAAGACAGGTCTAGTAGGGAGGAGCTTGATGTGTCCCCCTCTGGTGTGTCCGTGTCGACGCAAGGAGGGGAGGAAGGGCAGTCAAGAGCAGATCGTGTCAAAAGCACACTCGCAGTAATGCCATGGAGCCGTAAAGGTCTGTTTCTCTTTTGTATTTTCTGATAGCAGTGTTAGTTTTATAATATAGTACCAGCGCGGAGTGAAAATGCGCGCATGATATCGGCATTTCTCCACCTGAACAGAAGACCACGTGGAAGGGTTCCCAACCCAGGCCTCCATTTTGTTCGGATCCCTTGTGGTGTGGTATGTATTAACAGGGTGCTGTTGATGGGTCATTCAAAAATAAGGGTGTGGACATTTCTGTCGTGTACTGGCATCCAAATGGAAGACCTCCGGAATGCACAGGACTTAAATGGATACGTTGACTTGCTTCTGAACAAACTCTATCTTCCTCTCTCACTCGCCATACGAGCACAGCAGCATACCTCTTGCGGACGCTGCTGACATGCACATGTACCCCCAGAACTCCTGTGGTCACCCTTTGTACGCAAGCACACTAACGTACAAGCACCTTCTGTACTGCTTGCCCCATCTCTATGGCACATGTACAGAGCTGGGCTGTTGAAGAGGTAATGTGGCGATCGAATCTGTGCGTCCGTAAGGAGGGATTGGGAATGCCAAGCATGTCGCTGTGCGTGTGTCCGAGAGAGAGAGAGAGAGAGAGAGAGAGAGAGAGAGAGAGAGAGAGAGAGGGAGCGCCGAGGGGAGGGGAAGGAAAGGGGTAGTTGGTTACAACACGTCTGCGAATGTTTGGGCTGTGCGGATCTCCTTCTAGCAGTTGAGGACATTTAACGCGATGAATAGTGGAATTCGGCTTGCAGCATGGAAGTAGTCGCCCTCGCCCTCAGTGATTGATGTGCTTATATAGCAACAAAACCCTGGCCATTCAGTTTTTCTCGTGGACACCGAGCGCTGCTTTTCTCTCTCTTCCCTACCTTCATTGCATTTCTCTATCCCTCCCTTATATTCGTCTTCGCTGTTCTCTCCTGTCCATTTTTGTTCTCTTTTGTCTTTCGCCCATTCTTCCCTTTCTCCCTTCTCAGACCTTTCTGTCTAATGAAGCACTTCTTTCATGTTCCCTTCCCTTGTTCCCTTGTTCCGTTCTTCGACATACTTTCAGGTGCGAGATTCGCTGGCGAAGGCTGGGGCTAGGACTGTGAGGTCCGATCACTGTGTTCACTGTTGGTGGCGCTCGTCGGGTCGTCATTCAAGTGTTCAATGAGGCATGTGGGGTCCAGACTCCTCAGTTCTAGTGCTCGCTTCCGGTGAAGCGCGCCAGTGACAATCTCTTGAAATGTAGTAGTTGCTGCGGCGAGATTGTGAGTATGATTTTTGTTGTGCGTTTGTGGAAATCTCGTGAGGTGGCATTAGCGAGCCTCTGAGTGGCGGGAAATCGATTCGGTCCAGCGCGAAGGGTTTTGGTCCCCGATTTGGCGGGAAAGGGAAAGAGTTGACTGGCGGGAAAAGGAACGAGGTGAGGATGTCTCAAACTCAAGGGACGGTCAACGGAAAGGATGGGCCGCTTCTGACTCCACCGGGAGGTGCGGGTGTGCAGCTGGCCTCCGCTGGAGTGGTGGAGCAGGCGTCTGTTGTGGTGGTCCCGTCGCCAGGGCAGGGAGAGGGGGCGTGTGCTGTTCAGTCGCCCCCTGCCGCCGTGAGGCAGTCGTCATTTCCTAAAACGCAACATGGAGTTGGAGACCAGCACCAACAACATCAGCAGCATCGAAGGGTGGTTAAAGATGCTTTCGCACCTGGCTCAAGCCGGGAGGAAAAGCTGGCGCTTGTGTCCCGTTTTCTTAAAGAGGAAGGCTTTCTGGAAACAGCCAAGGCGTTGGAGAGCGAGCTGCGCTCGAAAGGGCTGAAAATTACTTCTGACCGGGCCAATCAAGGTCGCCTTACAAGGTTTGAATTTACCCCTTCTCTCCTTAACCCTTCTCTCCTTACAAGGTTTGAATTTACCCCTTCTCTCCTTACCCCTTCTCTCTTTACCTTTTGTCTCTTGTCCCACTTGTCCAAGACGAACATGGTTCTATCTGTGGTTTTTGAAACGCATTGTGTTGTCCTAACCATTAGCATCTCCGCACCAAACACGCTACGTGTTTGTTCTTCGTTATCGGGTGACTGATCACGCGACAGGAAGAGGGTCAGTTTGTCATGTCGAAGGTCTTGCCTTGTCTATTTCGTTCGTGTTCGTCGGGGTACGATGGAAAGAGAAGGGAGCAATTTCTCGGCTCCAGTCCTAGCTGGGTATGATAATTCTCCGCGAACCCGCATTTCTTCTTACGGTGTGTCTCTGCAGTTGTTGTCTTTGCTGTTTTGTTCGTTCTTGCCGTTCTACAAGCCGCTAGCGTTCCTTTCCTTGCCTCTCTATCGCCCGACGTTTCCGTACCTCGACCGCTTGGCCGCCGCCTCCTTTCCTCGTTGCCTCTCCCGCTCCCGCACCCCATTCCTCCCTCCTTTGGCTTCTTCTCCCGAATCGTCCATTTGTTCTTTTAGCTCGTTCACGCTAATACACTGTCGTCTGCTCCCCGATTTAACTCCTTTAATGTGGTAGCCTTCTCTCTAATTAAGTATATGCGTGTTGCCGTTTGCCTCTGTCGGTAGCGCGCTGACCGCTTCCGCGTTTCTCAGTTGCGTAGTGCTTATTTTTCATTACTGTGTTCTTTTCTTTGGCTTTGTTTCCCTTTCTTGCGTCTCCGTCGTCGGCTCCGGTCGCACGTTCTCCATCCCTCTTTGCCTTCTTTCCTTAGGTCGCCACATTCTGTGGTGAGCTTTTCCTGAATTGCCCTGTCCTCTTTGTGCTTGCACAGATTGCTACTGTGACACGTTTCTGGATGTACAACTCGTTCCTAGAGCACCTTCCATTTTTGTGGGTAGTTTTTCTTTATCGTGTTGAGGAAGAGCGTCATTTCATCTGCATAGATTTAGGCCTCGGTTATTCCATTTTTGTGGGTAGCTTTTCTTTATCGTGTTGCCTCGGTTATTATCCGGGATTTTGTGGGACCTTGATTACCTAGATATACTTACGCATACTCGTGAACCTTCCGGTGAACTTTGCAAATACCGTCGTACGTTAACTTCTCTCTCCTGTTGGGTTTTCACTTCTCAGCTCTTGCTTATGACGTAATGGTCTTTTTCAGTTGGAGGCATCTTGTCCGAGCGTTGTAAATCCCGTACGGTGGCTCATGTTCTTTTTCTGTTGAAAGCATCTTGTCCCAGCGCTGTAAATCTCAGGCTTGTATTCGAATCGGTTTATTCTTTCTGTTGTCCTTTCGTGGTGCGGAAGGTGAGCCGTTTTGAATACCTTCACCTTCTACCCCTGGTACTCTCTTTGTATAGAAATCGTGCCTCTCCTTCCGTTTACTAATGCTCTCTACTTTGTTCGCGGTATTCTGCTTTCTCTGACTTACTTGCGTCGTCGTCCTACACGTCTTTCTATCCCTCCGCTTACCCCTACTTCAATTTCTGATTCTCTTATTTTCTGCCTCCCTTTTTAATTGTCTAGTGCATGTATTTGGAGGGGAGGGGACCTTACGCCAAGTCACTGATCATTCTCCGAATTGTCTATCAAGCGTTTCCTCCCTCTTGCTGTTCACCGTCCTCCTCTACGGGCTGTTTCCTCTCCCCCTTGGTGCATTTTGATGGGTCCTGGCTTCTGATAGTTAAATCGAGATTCACCGGTTGGAATCTCGCTGGAATCTCCTGCAGAGGCTTCAGCTTTTGTCAGCTCTTCCTCACCACCACAACACCCGGACCTCCTCTCCATTATGTATCTTGTGCCCTTCCGTCTCTTGCTGGAATCTCCTGAAGAGCCACCAATCTTGGTTGCCTCCTGTCGCTCGATTCACTCGTTTTGTTCCAATTTCTAGCTCAGAGGAACTCTGACGATTCTCTGTAATTCGTCCGTCCCCCAGTTTTGATCGTCACTTGTAATTCTCTTCGAGATGATCCATCTTCTTTTCTTCGCCGTTCGTGAATCCTTCTTGTCACCAATCGAGAAGGTTTACAATCGAGAAGGGTTTTCCTTACGTTGTTAGATTGTTCTGTTCTCCATTGACGTAGAGCTCCTCCGTTCTTCACGTTGTGCGGCTGCCCTTTCACCTGATATTTATTTCACCGGACGTCTAGGTGTTAGCCCCTCGGTTTTATACTTAACCGATCTCAGCGCATTTACACAGTTAGCTCTGTTTCCCTCTTTTGTTTACCGTCCCCGGGTCTGACCGCTTCCCCCTCTTCGCCCCCTCCTCCCTTCTCTTCTCTTCCCCGCCCCCTCCCCGGCCTTCCCGCTGATTTTTGAACTATTTGTTCCTGCCTGGTGGTTGCAATTCATGATGATCCTGCTCTCGATGTTCGTGGCTTTGGCTTACCCTACTCTCATTTTCTCGTCCTTCAGTTGCTCTCCCTTCCATTTGTCGTGTCTATCTGCATCGTGAGTTTCTGCCGTTTATTGTGTTGCCGTCGTCGTTATTGCTCACCAGTTGTGTACCTCAAACCGAAAGTGCCTTTTTCCATAAGCTGGCTGTCCACCACTCAACATTATGCATTTTCGTTGTGTGTTTGCCTTTTCATTTAGTTATGAGCTCGCAATAGCTTCCTGGCCATATTCGGACGGCTCAACGGCAGTCTATTGCTCCCTTGTACTTGCCGCGCCTTTGTGCTTCCGTTTCACTGGCGTATTCTCTCTACCGCATTCAATCTGTGGATTCAGCGGTTTGTATGTCACCGTTGACACCGGCTTCGTCGTTAATTCTTCGCTGGCACCGACTCACGCGTTAGTTCTGTTTAGCTTATGCCCATTGTGTTCTCGTGGTGTGTCGTTTGTCTCGCCCTCGATTCTCGATGTGCTGCCGTTCATCATACCTTGTTCTCTGTCCTCAGATTCCTTCCCCCCCCCCCCCCCCTCTCCCTTGATGATGTACTGCTCGTCGCTGTCGTTTCGTCATCTTTGGCGTCATGCTCTACTCGGTCTGCTTGTGTCCGTGCGTAGAGGGCTTACAGCAGTCATGGTGGGCAGTAACACAGCCTGAAGAAAACATTTTACTCTCTTGTGTCCGTTCTGGGTGCGCTGGTTTAAGACCCCCCGCATGCGGTGTGCGGTACACAATGTATGGTCACAACGTTTCCTGCTTGATACGTCGTCGACGGATATCCCGGTGGTAGATCCCTCTTTTTTCCTGTGCAGGATCTTGTTCGTCAGCATGAAACGATTTGTTTGTCTTTGCTGCGCTGGATTGTTTTGCGGTCCTCGTCGCCGAGAAGGTTGTTGGCCATGTTTGTCACCGCACTCTGGTTGTCCGCTGCACTCTTTGCGAATGTCTTTCCCAAGTGGAGGCCCGAACGTGTCGGCTTCTTCAAGAATGTTAACTGTTGCAGTGCGGTTCTGTCAGCGTTTCTGCCGGACACTGGATGAGGAAGGAGGAAGCGGAAAGGAGGGGAGCGGTGCGGACATTCGGCTTTGCGAGTGTAGTTGGTCCGAGGAGGAAGTTTTTGCCTTTCGCGTCTTTTTCTCGATGTGGAATGGGTCGACTCGCGCGCATAAAGCGCCTAGAAACCCTAGAGTGAAACACAACAGCCCGTGCCGCTTCCCCGCCTGCTGCTTCTACTCGTTGATCCCTTGAAGCGTGCGACGGAAAGGTAATGTTAATGGCGGTGGCTTTAAACAATTTCATTTTTAGGACTCTGTAATCAACGAGTCTGTAATCACTGTCGTTTCAGCAGGACCTGTCTTCTGTGTATTAATGGAAACATGTTAGCGGTTCGGAAGGTGGTCATGTGATCACTGGTCCTTTTTTTTCTTTGGTAGAGAAATGAGAGTAATGATTGTTGCACGGATGGAGCGAATCACGAGTCTATGGGCCGCGTTTCACCACTCACCACATGCACAAAAGACAAATTACGGCGGTCTAACTGTCGATGTGGTACACCAAGATTCATTCTCATTTTTTTGCGCATTCGGTGAGTGGTGGAGCAAGGCCCTATGTTTCTGGCTTTGACATGTTTGCTTCGGTAGGAGTATGGACGATGTGCACGATGGAGGGATGTTATTATCAATTTATTGACTGAATGCTATTTCTGTTTAGGAGAGCTGTATGCTTCTTTAATCTATGGACTATTGTATGGGTTGCACGAGAGAGGTGGCCCCTCTCTTTATAGTCCTTAATATATATTGTGACAATATATATAATATATATATGAGTCGGTGAAACTCCGACGAAACAGTTTGTCACAGCCCCTCATTTGTTGTCCTCTTCTCCCTCTCTGCCTACGGTTTACCGGGCAGTTCTATTTGACGATATATATATATATATATATGCTGTTTTTGCTGCTGCCTGCCATCGCTCCTGCTGCTCCCCGCACAGTCTCTTCCTCAGTGTCTAGGCGAGTTGGCAGGCGTGAACTCTGTTAATTACGTGTCGTGTTTGGCTTCGTGGTTGGCACCCGGCATAACAATGATGAAGTCTGGGACACTCCTTCGGACTGGTGCACGTAGGGAAGTGGGTGGGGAAGATAGAAAAGTCGTTATAATGGAATTACCTACACGGAGAGCAGGGGGCATTCAGTGAAGTCTTATCCCAGTTGGTGTGTGGTGTTTTGAAGTGCAATATCCTGCAGTGTGTGTGGGTAATGTGTGCTGGTGGGACATCCATCCTGTAGAACACAAACAAGCGTCGAGGGCGATGATTGGTGTGTTTTTATTATATGTTGACGTACATGCGGCAACAAACGACGATTACAACACAAAGGGAATGACGCTCGATGGATTGATACTGTAATTCGTTCGTATTGCTGCGTGGGGATGGTTCATGTGGTCCTCACGGGGGGATGATTGACGGAGACGTATAGTAGTCCGTCCATCCAATCACGTTATCAGTCAAATTCTGCAGTTTGTGCCAAGAAATCTCGCGTTTGTTGAAGAGCGCACTCATGCGATGGCGACTGGTTTGTGTTCCCGTCGAAACGTCCTTTTCGCCGTCAAGCGGACTGGTTTGTGGGTCGGTTGCTTTTTGCAGAGCAAATCAAACTTATGGTTTTCGGTGGGATCGCTGCGATTGAATGAGAGTGAGTGGTGGTGGTCGTGCTGCTGGTGGGGCTGCTGTGACCTGTTTTGTGACCCTTTGCCATTTCTTGAGCAGGCCAAACGATGGGAAGGGCGATAGCGGTCCGCCCGCATCGGGAACCTCGTCATACCGTCGCCAGATTAACCGTTCTGGTTTGGTATCGGGCCTTAATCGCCAACTGGCGGCGGTCCCAGCGGCTTCAAGTGGAGCAACGGCAGCTGGAGCAACGGCAGGATCAGGAAAGGCGGTGGCTGGATCAACGGCAGGGAGCACCAAGGCGCCAACCACGACGACGACGACAACCCAAGGAGCGGCTGCAGCGGCGAATTCCGGAGCACCAACGGGAATCTCTAGTGGCTCGACTGCAGCTGCTGGCACCACAACAGCTAAAGCAGTCGCACGATCTCAAATAAGACCGACCGGTGCAGTTGAAGCTATTTCTGCTGCCGGCGGCGGGACAACAAAAAGTCCTGGCACGCCGGGAGGTTTGAGTGCTGGTGGAGCGTCTGTGCCTTCTGCGACGAATGAACCCTCTGGAGAGAAAGGAGCAGTGACTGGAAAAGCTGATGCTTCGTCGGATTTTACTTCTGCTGGGGGGGGCAGCGATCCGGACTCAACTGCAGCGGGAGATACCAGTGGAGGAGGATTACCACAGAAGCCGAGCGAGAGCACTCCTAATGTGGGTGTGGCTTTGCCGAGTGCCGCCCGAGGATCAAAGAACAGACCGGTGCGTGGCAGCAGCGTTGCTGCTGGTAATACTTCATTGTCTGCAGGTAAAAAAGAAGGAGCTTCTGCGGTGCTGAGTTCCGAAGCAGAGGCGGCGAAGGACAACGAGAGTGGAAAGAAGGAGCTGGCTGCGTCCTCAGCGGGCAACAATGCGGGAAGAACGGGTGCGGCCATGAGCGTGGGAGGGGAGAGCAAGAAGATGGCCAGTGGTGCTCAGCAGGCCGGAGAAGACAAGGCAACGATCTCTGCGCCCGCGAAACCTGGTACGCTCTGCTCGGAGATTCTGTACCATTTCCACTTCTGGATCGCTTCTGTGCTTCTTCCCCCATAATACTCTGCGCCTGATGACCTAAACACACTACTGGACGAAGTGGGGCCAACCGTTTCCACTCGGCCACCAATCGGTCCCTAGCATGGTCTCTGCATCTACATAGGCTTAGACAAGCAAGGCCATCACTGCGGTGAAGAGGAGTGGCGCTTGCTCCTAGTGAAGGTAATTCTTTTATATCGATTAACGGATCAATCAGCGCCGGGTTTCTCCAAGGGCCGCTTTTCTGGGTGTTGTTGGGTCGGTGAGAGCTGGGGGGGTGAAGTTCACGCCCAGGAGGGGGTTTGGGGAGGGGATGTAAGCCCTCGCGCTTGTGTGTGATCGGGTCCGCTTTACATACCCACACACACACACACGCACACACACATACACACAGAGAGAGAGAGAGAGAGAGAGCACAGCTTCCCCATGATCCTATAGTACGTGGGTGTATGGGTATTTGTTAGGGAAGTGCCGTGGAGCCGCCTTGTGGAAACAATAGTCTTTCTGGGCTGTACATACAGAACACGGAACAGTTGGGCTGGTACATCGAAAATGCGGCCTTCATTTGTGAGGCTGAAAATTTTGATAGAAGGTTTGGCTGGCGCTGGTCGTTCAACAGAAAGGTGGTGATCCTTGCAACGAAAGACGAATAAAAGGTAACTTCTGAAAAGTGGAAAGGACAATGGAAAAGAAAGAAGCGTTGCATTGTTTTTTTTTCTCTCTCGTGTCCTTGCTTTCTACACGACTGTCCTGTCGTCAGTGAGGGGCACTCGCAGGTGGGCTCTACCCAGTGAACTGTCTTAAAAGACTTAACCTTTTGCCTCCAGTACGCCCGATCCTATTCAAGAGTCTAGGAGAGCTGGAGAACTGGGAGAACGGGTAAGCTAGTTTGTTGAAAATCCCTCTGTATAATTGCATCTACTTTATCAATGTAGGTGCATTACTTTATACGCTTTTCTTCATGGGTGTCTTTTTATTTGATAGGAAGGTTTGTTACCAGAAAAAGACACCGGCCCGGTTTCTGTCAGCTGGCAAGGGTAGTGACCAACGCTCAGAGAGTATGTAGACGAGGGCACAGCACTTTGTGTGTCCTCTTACGCTTGGCCCGGTATCATGATCTGCCTATGGGCCTGTGCTGGTTCCGTGGATGGAAGATAAAAACGTGCTTCCAGAATAACCAATGCCCACAGAGTACGTAGACGAGGGCACAGCACTTTGTGTGTCCTTTTACGGCTGGCCTTGTATCGTGATGTGGCTCTGGACCTGGGCTGGTTCCTTGGATGGAAGAGGAAAACGTGTTTCCAGAATAACGGCCCTATGGACCAACTGACATCGTCTCCACAAGGCCCACTGTGTAAATGAAGTTCAGACACCACTGCCAGACTTTGTGGTGTGGTGGGTCCTTTTGAGGTGGTGTCCTCAGTTCCTCGTAGTTTCCGCGGACTACAGCTGTCCTGGCTGAACTGATTGGGGTTGGGAGTTGTGCTTAAAACAATTGCTTCCCGAGGTTGGAGTGGGATTCCAATATATGGGGGCAGCGACGGCATACTCACACTGCGACCCCAAATCCGCAAAATATGCGGATTTGGGAAGGGCCGATATTATCAGCTAGTCAGACTCCGATGTGCAGTTACCTACAGAATCTTTACAATCTGTGGATGAGCTGGCGTTATAGTTCCGTTTTCACACAATTTCGAGGTGGAAGAGCTGATGTATACACCAGTGTAGCTTGTGAGGGAGATTGCCTGCAAGTGGTTTGCGCACACAACGTTCTAAGTCGAAGGCTCTTGAAGAAAGGCATTTATGTAATGTGATAATCTGCTGAGTACGAGTGTTCAGTCGTGCCCAGAAAGCAGCAGGATAGGTCAGCCTTCGGCCAGAAAGCAGATAGGTCAGCGTATGTGTAAGATCTGATAGAGTGTATTCATGAGCGTTTATTGCAATTGCTCATTGAGCATGAGCTGTGATTATCAACTGGTAAGGGGTGGAATGTGTATTCAAACTCTTTCTATAGTGAGTTGAGGATGGGCTGTGATTATCGCGATTGTTCCTGTTTGAGAGCTCAGAGACATTCCTATAGTGTACCTCCTGCAAGTACCCAGTTTGGCCCATCCTGCATTGCCTTTGGTGTTTTAGCAGCAGCTGTGAAGTGCGGAGAAGTTTGAAACTATTGTCAAAGTTCTGGTTCCTGCATACGTTTTGTTCTCCCTTCCCTTTGGGTCGCCCTCATTTTGATCTACAATATTTAATTGTCTGAAGGGGCGTGCTTGGGGATTGGTTTAGATTCACTGCTGATCATGAAAGGTTAAGATCTGCTGTGAATTTGGGTGGTTTGTGCACATGGATGGCTTCGATGCTGCGCCAGTCGCAGTATTTTCTTGACTGGTAGAACAGTCTGGGCCGTCGCACAGCACTTGGCCTCAGATTTGAGTCCTGTATGAATTCTTGGAGATTTCCCCTTGAATCTGGGTGCGTCCGTCTGTGCGGACAGCCAGGATGGCAGGCCAAAATGGGTGGGTGCTACCGGCCATGCAAAAAGATGGTGCAAAGGGGCAACAGCAAGGTAGTTGCTTCTGCGGATCCATCTCTCTGCGTGTTGCGGCCTGCTGCAGCACGTTGCTACCTTCCATCTGAGACTTGCCACCTTCTTCCACCTCCTCCCCCCCCCAAAAAAAAAAACCACCACCAACACACACACACACACTGTGCTATGATTGCAGGGTTGGTGTGAGTGAGGTGCACCTCGTTTCTCAAGGGTGTTTCGAACCCTGGGCTGCGTGGTTCTATCCATCAGCCAAATGCATCGTGGGCAGACTGTTGGGGTTCAACCTCCCTATGAGTTGGTGAAAGCCCTGTGAAACAGTCTGGCACGGTCGTGCTGTTTTCATGGAGTTGTGTACAGGAAACGTGACAAAACGGTGGCATTGCTAAGCTTTCTGTTCAGGCAGATTGGTGTGGCTGCGGGCGGTCACGACCGTACTAGCAGTCATGCCACTGGGTATCCATGGCTGAACGGGTGTGTAGAGCGGGATTTATGGTTGTGTCAGACTCGTTTGTCAGACTTACTACCATTCTTGGCGGGGGTCTGAACTGACACTCCACCAGGATTGCAGGGTTGGTGTGAGTAGTGGATAACTTTTATCAGGGGTATAGCTAACACTGTCAAGTCCTTATCCGTCAGTCAAATGCACCCTGGGCTTACGGTTAGGGTTTAACCTCCAGATGAGTCGGCTACAGTCCGATGAAACAGTCTAGCACGGTTATGCTTTGTTTTTTTGTGGAGTTGTGTACAGCGAACATGACAACACTCACACACATGCTCTTTGGTGGAGAGGTTCCCCATCTCGTGGCGGAGAGGTTTCCTATCTCCACCGCCATCTGGGCTCTGCCTTGTTTTACCTCAACAGCATGATCATCACGGCCCAGAGGGGAGTCAGAGATCTGCTCCGACACCATATGCTCACAACCGTAACGACGTTGTCGTTCCTGATACACACTCGCCAGGAATAGTACGTACAGCGAACATGACAACACTCACACACATGCTATTTGGTGGAGAGGTTCCCCATCTCGTGGCGGAGAGGTTTCCCATCTCCACCGCCTTCTGGGCGCTGCCTTGTTTTTACCTCAACAGCCTGATCATCACGGCCCAGATGGGAGTCAGAGATCTGCTCTGACACCATTTACAACCGTAACGACGTTGTCGTTCCTGATACACACTCGCCAGGAATAGTATGTATCGAGTCGGATGCCCACAATGTTGTGATTATTTTGACAGTGATGCAGGGCTGCATGTGCACCAGACACAAGGTGCAACCACCTCTACAGCTTTTTCACCACAAGCAGCCACCCTGAGCACAAGTGCAGCTGATCAGCTTCTGCGTCTTGCATATGATGCACCCACTTCTCATCCAGCTAGCTGTGATTGGTCTCCTGCTCTCAGCGACAGTGATCCACTCTCTGGAACGGAGATGATCTCTCTTTGGAACGCATGCCAAGGCCCATGGAGTTTATGCAGCCAGAGGAACCCGACAGAGACTGTCAAGACCGGAATTAATGTCCGCCTACCATGCAATGTGCATGATTAAGAATGGAACTCCCTGTGCCGTGCAGTTAGGAGAATCAAATGATCTCATAGTGCTCCAGCGAGTCCACTCTCTGTGCTGAGTAATCAATATATATCTTCTCACTTAGAGTTGCAAAGCCTACGTTGTTTCTGATCGTGCAGACATTGTCCGTCGGATGGAAGAAGAGCACTGTGCTCTCTGTCCAGAGGATGACAGTACTGTGCCTGGTGTGAACGTAGATGTCCTGTCCATGTCATTTGTGGGAAGATCACTGTGACTCCAGCCCGGTCCACAGAATTACATGCCAGACATGGGCCCGAGTATTTGTGTGTACATCCTGCATCGTCCAGGTCATTTGCTGTTACATGCCAGCCCTGTACCCTTTGTGGATAATTCATGGACGCTATGGGACAATGGCGGTAGGTGGGAAGTATGAACTTCTATCGACGAGTTGCACAGTCCCACTCGATCTGGCTGTCAATCAGGAAAAGTATGTGGATGTGCACTAGAAAGCTCTACGCCCTCCAAAGAACATTGCCGCCGAACCTCCCCCCTCCTGTGTACATGTACATGGCGAGGCAGTGTCCCTTCCCTGTGTAGATCGGACAGGTTCTACCACGGATAGTGAAGGAGCCTCTCCAGAGGCTGGTGGCTGTGCCATTCCATGGTGTCTCTACACAGCTACAGTTGGACTAGCATGCAAATGGCATAGTCTCGGGTCAAACACTACGAAGGTATGGTCATTTCCAGTCCTGCCACGAAAACTATGACCCATTGTCTTGCACCCGTCTCCCTCTCCACCCCCTTATTAGTTGCCTGACATGCCGTTGCGGCCTTGACATTCCATGCTTTAATACCTGCGAACGTCTGCTTTCCTGCTGGCATG